GAACGTAGAATTCTAGATTACTATTTTTCTTAAAAATTAGATAAAATTCTAAATTATTACTTTTCTTAAAAGTTAACATAGAATTCTCAATTATTATTTTTCTTAAAAATTAGATAAAATTCTAAATTATTACTTTTCTTAAAAGTTAACATAGAATTCTCAATTATTATTTTTCTTAAAAATTAACACAGAATTCTAGATTACTATTTTTCTTAAAAATGAACTTAGAATTCTAGATTACTATTTTTCTTAAAAATCATCATAATCCATTTTCGAGGTGCAATTATAGCAAAAGAGAATCGGTATTGTTGTTACGTAGACAAATTGCATCATCGACTTCCCACGCCTACTAAATTTCTACCGTTACACAGCTTTTTCCCCTTCGATTTAACGACTCCTTTGGCTAGCCAACCCTCTCTCTCCCTCTCTCTCTATTTCGAGCTGGATTAGACCCGTGCAAACATCGATTTTCTATTTATGGGATATAATTTAAACAGCGTTATTGTGGGATTACGACAACGTTAACGTCATCCGAACCCTCTGAAGAAGGGGTGCAGGGGGGGATTTAATATTCTTACGGTTACGATGGTAGCTAGTCGTTCTATGTTCCCTACGATCAGGACTTCACGGCTGCGTTTAATTGCTAGGATTAAGCTTGCATGCGATCCACTCGCTAATTTACCGTACTTTAATCCTGCCTTGTGATCCGGAAGCGATAGTTCACTGAATGGTCTTTAGAAAGAAACTTTCCAAGAGAATTTTAATCTTGTTTTCTTAATTCGTTGTGTTTTTATGGGGTTCAGTCGAGTGGAATTTTTGGGGAAATTTGTCTCTCAAGAGTGATCCATCTAATTTTGAAAGAAATGAATTATTATAATTTATGCTATTTCCTTCTCTGTCAGTGGAATTTTAATTATTTCTTAATGGAATTTCAGAATTTCTTCAATTTTCACTTATTCGAATTACCTCTGATTATTTTTTGTCATTTCTTTGCAATTGAAATTTTAATATTCTGTAATTCTGTAATTTATCATTTCTTTGCAGTTGAAATTTTAACATTCTGCAATTTTGCAATTTATCATTTCTGTGCAGTTGAAATTTCAATATTCTGCAATTTTGCAATTTATCATTTCTTTGCAGTTGAAATTTTAATATTCTGCAATTTTGCAATTTATCATTTCTTTGCAATAGAAATTTCAATATTCTGCAATTTGCAAATTTTCAATTTTGCAATTTTGTAATTTATCATTTCTTCGCAATTGAAATTTCAATATTCTGCAATTTTGCAATTGAAATTTCAGTATTCTGCAATTTTGCAATTTATCATTTCTTTGCAATAGAAATTTCAATATTCCGCAATCCACAATTTATGTTATTATCACACCACGAGATGTCAGATTGAATAATAATTTTTAGAACCCCAAGAATCTTCTGACAACTGTTCAGGTTTGTTTTACATTCGGTAACGGTTCTAATACTCGCGAACCCGCAGTGTATATTGCAACGATAGAATTACATTTTGCGTCGAACCTCAAAGCAATTAGGGTAACGTTCCTCGAATAGAGAAACCTGACCATGGGGTGGTACTTCGTCATGGGGTACCACCCTTTGTTTAGCAACATGCGTAGTTTGTTCTTCGGCTTGATATTGATATAGGGGTAAATTCGTTGTTGGGGCGGCTTTTCACCAGAGAGCAACATAAAAATGTAACAGGTAATAAAAAGAAGAACGAAGGGTAGTAAACATGAAGCAGGAAGGTAGTAAAAATAATTGGTCCGGCTGGTTGGTGAAAGAATTTTATTTCCTTTGCTATTTCTATTTGGATAACTTATATAGAAGATGGTTAAATTTAGTAGAATTCAATTGAACTTGAATGTTATAATTATTTTAGTCTCCATTATTTTTAGGTTAGAAATTTTATCTCGCATTAAAATTATTACGAATTATCATTATTTTAGCTATAGTTAGATATTTCTTTCTGTTAACCATAAATTTAATAAAATTTAGTTAAACTTGAATATTCCAATAATTATGCAAATATATTTCAACATTCATTTTTTTTTTTTAGGTTAGAATCTTAGAATCATTGTTCTAAATACATAATTACAGAGCACAAGTATAATTAGATACTTCTTCCCATTAACCGTAAAAGCAATACACTTTCCACTCTAAAAATATTAATTTCTTTATAATAGCGCGTAGTAAAATTTACCGCTGTCTGACGTCAACGGAAAACATTGAAATTTTCATAAAGTTAGTCTTGTATTTTTAGGTTATAAATTCGCTACGAATTAACCTTTCGACATTTAACACAATGTACATAGTTAAAAGTACATTTTCATCGTCGATGAGTCGACCTATATCGAATTATTAGTTACGTTTCCATATTGACAAGTAAATTGACCACATTATATATATATATATATATATGTACCTATATATTTAAACTTTTTGAATATTTTAAGAATCGCCCAGAGCTTTAATGTGGCCAGTTCAGTACACGCGAAAGGATCATTATTAAATATCAGCGCTTCCACATTATCACCGTGACGCCGGCGCTAATTGCGCCGCTAATTTACTCGTGAGCAATTTAAGGGATAATTAGTCGTTCGGCTGCGCGATTGAACGTCAAGCACACTTTCCGCTTATCCGCGAGTGCAGCGCGCGTGCCTCGCTTCCGGCTGCCAAGCGGCTTCCGGCCGCGTAAAAACCACTTTTCCGTTCGTTTTCTTTCCGATGGAAAACAAGGGAGGACGTGTACGGAGAAACTGGGTATTTCGTGCTAATGAAGTGTCGAAGAACGATGGTGTATTAAGTTATATGCAAAATGACGAAGGTTTTTAGATACATTAACGCGTATACAGGGTGTCTCATTTATATCTAAAATGTGTATGTGAAAACTGAGTATTTAAAGTTTATGAAAAGAGGAAGAATGTTTATATATTAAATTTGTGGATAATTACGAAGGTTTGAATAACCTTCCCTAGGAATTCATGTACAGGGTGTCCCATTTATATCTAAAACGTGTAGGTATGCAAAAATTGAGTATTTAAAGTTTATGAAAAGTCGAAGAATGTTTATGTATTAAATATATGAAAAATGAGGAAGGTTTTTAGAAACATTAACGCATATACAGGGTGTCTGACTTATTAAGGAACGTCTGAATTATTTTCACTGCTATTAAAAGCAAGAAAACATATAGTAAAGGAGTTCATAATAATGAAAAATCTTCTTGAGGTCATCTTGAAGGTCGTTCCAAGGTCATCGACACTTCTTTTGCGCATTAACATCCTCATTAACATCCCTCGTTTAATAATATTTTTAACATAATTTCAAGGCAATGGTGTTAAATTTTCAGCGGAGCGCAACTAACAATAAGTGTCTTTCCGTAGAATTAAAAAAGAAATATTTTTCCCAAGCAAAAAAACACCAAATTTGCAACGAACCAAAATTTTGACTATTCCTCCACACATGAGAAAAAGAATATTTCTGTGTAATCCCGATTGAAATATTACCACTGTTGATTCGACCCGGGCATTGTAGCACAGAAATTCTATTGGCGCGGACAGAAAGGCGTGTAATTTGGAAATTTGGAAATTGCTCGGGCGTCTCTTCGTTTCGCGTGAATTCAGGAAAGCAACGTGGACGCTGTGTGGCGCAACAGCCTCGGGACGTTACTTAGCAATTCCGGAGATGGTAATTTACTTCGTTATAACTTACGATGCCGAGTTACTCTCCGTGGTACAGTTAAGTGGAAGTACAATGATGTTGCTAATGGTGTTTCGGAACGTTCCACCGGTACAAATTCAAAACAGGACGTTCGTGGAAATTGTCGATACTGGCTAGGGACTGTTAAGGGTCAAGGGCCATTTAATTTCCATTTTTTTTTACCGTTCGTTGTTTAATTTTTCATTTGGAAATGACTTTCAAATAATTGTTCTATTTATTTTTACTTGATTTTTTTTTTTAAATTCTAAGAGTTTGCAACGTGAGAGTTCTAGTTATTGCACAAATGGTAGAAATTTGTTAAATTTTTCGATAAAATTAGAGAATTTTCTGTGAAATAGAGAATAAAATAATTATTCCTTTTTTTTTTTTTAATCCTAGAAATTTGTATATTCCATGTATCATTGAAGTTTTCCATAAAATTACAGAATATTTCCTTCGTTCGTTCTCTAATTTTTTCGTTTAAATTGTATTAGTGTAATTTTGGATATTAACTTGTCGGGAACAGGAAATTAAGGAAAACTGAACTTACTTATTTTACCAGTTCGTTTATCTTCTTTGAAAATCACATTATGCGCAGAATATTTATCAGAGAGAAATGGTCGAGGTTCGTTTTGTTCGTTAACAGTTGCTTTTAATATCTTCCACGCCTTTAAAATTGGATTACTTTAACAGGAAAGCCGCTCTGTTTTGTGTTAACGGAGTTATACAAAATAGAGGTTAATTTGAGTAAGGGGGAGTTACAGGTATCAGAGGTCGTCGTCAGAGTCTTGAAAGCGTTCGTACTTTGCCACCGATTTCTGGAAGGTCTCATAATCCCTCTTTTCATCCCGCTGCGTCAGTAATTTCCTCCTTTCCAAGGTGAGGTATATTAGCAGCGGGCAGTAGCCGATGTTCATTAAACCGACGATTCGCATCACCCATTGAAAGCCAATCGACTTTACCATTTCGCCGCCCAGAATTGGTCCTTGAACAAACAATTTTCTTTCGTCGATCGTTCCACGCGTATCAATCTAAAAGTCTCAATTTTTTTTCAAATAAAATTTCGATCTTCTTAAAAAACAAATTTCCATTTCCTTGAAATTCAAATTTCGGTATTCTTGAAAATCAAATTTCAATCGTCTCGAAAGTAAGATTTCCATTTTCTTAGAAATAAAATTATTTTGTATCCACATCCAAAAATAGATAATTTTCTTTAATTAATATTTGATAAAATTGTGGTGACTGATCCGCCGGCGATCAGGTCCGACACGCGTGAGAGTGTGTGGCGCGAGCGAAAAGCGAAGCGTAGAAGAGGCATGCGGGCCCAGGGACGAGAAGGCAGTTGAAGGTAGCGCGCCGAGGCTCGAGCTGGCTATGCGACGGTGTATACTTTTTTTCCTGACGAATTGATCCCACATATACGTGCAAATCGGGTCCGACACGCGTGAGAGCGTAGGCGCGTACCGGCGCGGCGTGAGCGAAAAGCGAAGCGTAGAAGAGGCACGCGGGCCCCGGGACGAGAAGGTAGTTGATGCTATGTGACAGAGTGTATATACATATTTTTTCCTAACGAATTTGTTGCAAAAGCAATATTATAAATTGAACGCGGTGACGGTTGCCGGCGAGAGCTTTTGCCGGAGCCCAACGACTCCGGCAAAAACTAGCTAGCTCGCCGGCGTCTAATCCCCGGGCGCACGCATTTACTTTGGGTCTGGGCTAGACGCCGGCAACTGTCACCGCGGGGCAATGAACTCCATTGCTCTGTCTCACTCTGATTGACAATCCGTACGTCATCAGGGCAATAGCCTCGCCGAGCGATCGTTCACCGATGATCGATCCATTGGTTCGATCTTTTTGAAAACCCCCAATCCAAATCGTCGATGGCGGTCTCTCGGCGGGATATAAAAGATAAGCGACTGTACGCTGCGGACGAATTCACCGTCTTGTCGGAAACATCGCCAGTTCACAGTCATCGCAAAGTCTTCAATACCGCTGCCGCTCCAGCGTGCTATTATTCTCGTCGGTTTTTGCAACGTTTCGCACCTTTATATTATCACGATTCTGTGCTCCAGAACGTGGACAGTCACACAGCGAGCTACGCTGAATTTTATTGTTAGTGAAACATTGTATTCTTTACCGATTGTTAGAAAATATACGGATTGTTGCTTTAAAATCTGTACCTTGACTATAACTACACTAAAGTCAGACGAAACAAATTGGTCCCACAAAATTTTAATAATCGAAGGAGTGATCGAATATTTGAAAATTAATATTCATGTTCAAATTTTCGTTTTCAACATCGACGATGTCTCGCTCGTCATATGTTTCCTGGCGCGTCGCGTGGCACAAAGAAGGTACGCGGTCGAAGTGTGCGTCTCGGCCTTTCACGGTTGCCACACGTGTATTTTGTGTATCAATAAAATAAAGATCTTTTACGGAAAACCTCAAAAATTTTCTATTCGAGTGAATTAAATCGTTTACCAAGAGAGTAGGCCAGACTGACGGCCACTTGTTGAATCGAGTAAACGGGACCGTAGTCGCCATTTTGGTCCACCAAGCTGGCCAATAATGGTACCAAAGCAGCGTCTGCTACACCGATGCCTAAACCCATTCCCAAGTGTGGGATTATTAGTTGTGACATTGTTCCAGCGAATGGTATTAGAAAGGTACTTATTCCAACCACGAACATAGCTAGAACAGCGATTTTGCTACGTCCATAGCGATAGGCTATCATGCCGAAAAAGTTGGTCCCAATTAGATAGCCAACGCTGTCTGGAATGAATACTGTTCCCAATTGCCATTTCTAGAGGAACAAAGAAACAATTTTATTTAATTGAAAGCAGTCAAGGGGTTAATGTATTAAATAAAACATTGAATAGGAAATAAGCGATTAGCGTTGAACCTTGGGTTTTATGTGAGTTCGTAGCCAGATCGGTAAACAGGGTTCCAAGATGGCCATCGGTGACGTGGAACACCATATTGCTCCAAAAATAATGAGTATGTGTGGGTCAGATAGTAAGTGTGTCCAAGATGTTCCTTCTTCGCTGGACTAAAAATATTATTTATCGTTCTTTGTGTAGATAAAACGTGTTCTTTGTGTCGTTAAGAATAGTATTTGATATAGTTGAGAAGAAATTTGGAAGGGAGAATAATTGTAATATAATTGAAAATAATTTAAAAGGAATTATTTTGCAGTGTATTGTAATACTTACCTCAGTTTTGGTTTCAACGTCCAACGTGAAAACCTGTAGACCTGAAAAATTGATCTATAAATCGATCTTCAAATTTTTCCAATTGCTCCTGTAACAATTCTCAAGAACACTCTAGAAATGAATTCTCAAAATTTTCTAATTCTTCGTAGAAAGATTGTCGATTCTCACAAATACCCTAGAGATCAATTCCCAAAATTTTCCAATTGCTCCTACAACAATTCTCACAAATACACTAAAAATCAGTTCCGAAAATGTTGAAAACAAATTTTTTAAAAACACCTTAAAAATCAATTTTCAAAATTATCCAATTTTTCCTATTAAATCCGAAAAGTATGTTCGAAAGAAATGTCATACAAATGGTGACCACGATGAAACAAGACACCAACAAGAACGGCGCCATTTTCCCTTCGAGGTCGTAAAGCACAGATCCAATTGGATATCCAACGAGAACGCCCAGCGCGATGCTTCCAAGAACGAAGCCCATGATCTTCGATCTCTTGTCCTCTTCTGGGTATTGCGAGGCAACCAGCGACATACCGGAAACACCAATGCACGCTGATGAGATACCTTGAACGCTTCGAGCCAGGAACAGCACTTCGTATGTTTGCCCGAATGCGAACACTGCAACGGTTGTTGTTGCATTCAGCGAGCATCTTTGTTCGTGGTCCTTTGTACCGTGAACTTTCGTCGCGTCGAATAGAACTGGTGTGATTGTAAAATGGCCGTGGGACGATGAAGTGTTTTCACCAGAAGGAACTTGTTGCGTTCATTTTTGGGTTTCGTGGAGAATGGAGGGCTTATTGGGGCTCTGTTGTAAATGCGAACGTAGGTTTTAGTTTCTTTTTAATTGCTGGAGGAATATTAATGGAATTTTGGCTATTTTTGGGTTAGTCATTTTTTTATGAAAATTTTATAGATCAATTTTTCGTATATTATGGATTTTGTACATCTTTTTGTCGAACGATTGAGATTCTTTTTTTCTTTTTGGAATTGTGCATGGAGGTTTTAGTCGTTTTTTAATTGTTGGAGGAATATTAATGAAAATTTGGCTATTTTTGGGTTAGTCATTTTTTTATGAAAATTTTATAGATCAATTTTTCGTATATTATGGATTTGTACATCTTTTTGTCGAACGATTGAGATTCTTTTTTTCTTTTTGGAATTGTGCATGGAGGTTTTAGTCGTTTTTTAATTGTTGGAGGAATATTAATGAAAATTTGGCTATTTTTGGGTTAGTCATTTTTTTATGAAAATTTTATAGATCAATTTTTCACAGATTATGGATTTCATATATTTTTTTGCCGAAGGATTGAGATTTCTTTTTCTTTTTTTGGGGGAAATGTAAATGGAGGTTTCAGTCGTTTTTTAATTATTAGTGAAAGATTGATAAAATTTTGGCCATTCTTGTGGTACGAATTTTTATAGAAAATTGTATGGATAAATTTTTCATATACTATTGACTTCGAAAATTTTTTCACCGAAGGATTGAGATTTCATTTTTTGGGAAATGTGAATGGAGATTTTAGTTGTTTTTTAATTGAAGCAATTTTGGCCAAATTTGTAATTCATCAAATAGGACTCTTAAAATTTTGCTAATTTCTGTGATAACAATTTTCCCAAAGATTTTCACAGATAAATTTTCAACTCCCAAAACAGTATAACTAAAATTCCAACCATTTCGTAACACTAATAAAAGAAGAATTCCTCCATCAGAAATTTGCCTAAAAAATTCTCTCAATATTTCTCCGTCGCAATTTCTCGAAATTCGGTAAAATTTTCGTAGGATCGTTAATTTTTACTTCGCAATCAATACCTCCGATAAGAACCATTACGTTCGATGGGTGTTCCGGTACAAAGGAATAGAATAGTTTGAAAAGAAAAACAAGCTTACGCATCGCCGCCAATAGTAGACTTAAATTCCCGAGGAACAATGGCTTGGTGTATCCCAAAGTACCGGTAAGTGTGCCCACGGCTGGATTTAGTATTAATTGTACCAGCGCCTTCGAGCTCAGCAATAATCCCACTCGACCGTTCTCATCGTCTTCGCCGTTTGTCGTCGAGTTCCCGTCCAGGGTGCAAAGGTAATCGGGAATAATCGGCACTGAAATATTTTTAATCCCTCGATGAGAACAATAGAGGATGAAAAGTTATTAAAAATAGTCCTCTTCTGTGGACTCGGCTCTTTCAAAAAAATCGATTTACGTTAATTTTTCACCGGTGAAAAATTCTGAATAAAACAATGAAAAGTGGGAAATTGCGATTTTTAATGTCTCCAAAATTATGTCGTTACAAATTTTATTTTTTTTTAGCGACAGGCTGTGTTAAATGGGAAATAATTTTTTTGTACAGTGAGTGTATTTTTGTATAATAATTATTAGTAATTTTGTAATAGTAG